AGAACCAGCACATATATAATCAAGTGCATGTGAACTTTTTGGCAGAATATGGATTTATCATGTTTAAATTATTATAGGCAAGCATAGCCAAAGAGCACTCACACTCACTCTCAACCCACTCTCCATAAATTCCCTTTTATTGAAGCTGCTGGATCACCCCATATGCCTTGTTTGCTTGATCTTTAATGGAAAGTCAGGTAAAGTTTCTCTAGTGCTGGTTCTCCAGTTTTGTTGTCTCATACATGGGGAAAAATTAGCCTATTATGAAAGGAATTGCAAGCAAAAATCCAGGAACACACATTTTCAAAAGGTCCATAAAGTCAAATAAATACTTTAACATTTCTCTGTTTTAATTTCTAATATATATTGATAGGCATAACCCACACAAACCAAACTTTTCAGGGTCTGCCATCATTAAAAAAAAAAAAATTAAAAAATAATTTTAAAAATGGTCCTAAGACCAAAGTGTTTGGGAATCATGGGTCTATGAGAACTCTTGCGATAGTTATGCCTTGGAAATTGTGGCACACAAGTACGACAGATAATATCTTTCTGGTGCCTGTTGCATTTGTTTTATTCATTTATAACTCCATTGTGTACTGTTTCTGCTTTCATTTATGACTTTAAAAAAAACACACAAGTTATCTGGATGTTTCATTAACACTTGTTTTGTTAATTCTCTTCAACCAGGATCACCAGGAACACAAGGTTCTAAAGGTGAAAGGGGCATCTCAGGTAAATTATTCCCAACAAAACAATTTGTAAAACTTTTTTTGAATGCATAGAGCTCCGTATCAGCTGGGTTTCTTTATCTAGCATCAGAGCAAAACCATAGCAAAAGCACAATTAAAAAAAAACAACACATACAGCTATGCCTGTTCCAGAAGTAGGCAAAACAGAGATAGTATCCTTTGTATCAGGACTTATAGATAAGTAATACGGTGCAGTCCTTTCATTGGAAAATATATTTGTGCTTATTATCCTTTGTATTCCTACATTTTAATCAGGGGTAGGTTTCAGCCAGTGTTGCTGCTGGTTAGCTCATGCGCACACTGGTGCGTGCTCCGTGCACATGTCCAGTTCAATTGAAATTATTCTGCGCATGCACAGAAGTAAAAAAAAAAAGAGATGGCGACTTCAGTGACCGGGGAACCGTTTTGGAGGCATGGCCAGCCTGGGTCGCTGCCAGTTGTATGACCCAGGCCGGCATGTCACTACCGGTTCGGCCGAACCGGGCCGAACCAGTAGGAACCCACCTCTGATTTTAATCCAGGAGTTGTCTTCAGGACCTAACTAATCATTGGTGTTATGTTATTCTTTGCCAGGAGTGGCTTATCCATTCAGGTGAACTAGGTGGTCACCTGGGGCATCAGGTTTAGTAGAGAAGCCAATATCAAGAAACAAAATCAAACTTTATAAACACCAAAATAGATTTATAAAGCTTATGAAGTTGCAGGATTTGCCAAAAATGTTCTAATTAAAGTCCACCATTTCCCTCTAAGAGAGTTTATACTTTAGATGTGGAAAATCACAAAGGTACATCTGGAGTAGAAAAGTTCTTTTTCAATGGATACTTGACATAATCAAACCCTTCATGCTTTTGCCATTGTCTTTTGAAATTACATTCGCAAACAACCACAGGATTCGGTGCTTTCCTCAGACTCATAGGAGAAGACAATCGTGGCCGTGTGGAGATTTTGCACAAAGGGCAATGGGGCACCATCTGCGATGATTATTGGGATGTGAATGCTGGCAACGTGGTTTGCAAAATGCTGGGGTTCAATCGCGCTGTTAATACCTTCACTGCACCTGCAGGTAATTTACTTCACAAACTTTCATCAAATTTGAAAGCAAGAGATTTTATTTCTCTCTCTCTCTCTCTCTCTCTCTCTCCTCCTCCTCCTCCTCCTCCCTCCTCCTCCTCCCTCCCTCCCTCCCTCCCTCCCTCTCTCTTTGAAACATGGCAAGGAAGCATCTTTGCTCTGGCTGGGAATATGGTTCCCTCAACAATCCCTCATATTTGTACAATCAGATCTCACAGAACAATAATGTCAGCAGAATTTGTTTTCTCATCTTGGAAATAATTTATATATTAACTCCTTATATCTCTGCTTATATATTTTGGCTCCTCAGGATCTGGACAAATCTGGCTGGATGATGTGCAATGTTCAGGAAACGAACTCTCCATTTATTTGTGCAGAAAACGTGAATGGGGTGAAAACAACTGCAGTCATAGTGAAGATGCTGGGGTTGAGTGTGCTTAAGGCAATTTTGCAGCACAACCTATAAAATAATATTGAAATAAGCATCTCAGCCTTGTCATGTGGTATGTAATTTACTGATCAGTTACCAAATGCTCACTGTCTTCTGTTGCATCAATATATTTTTAGGTTCTTCTTTGATCAAAGCCAATTTTAAAGATGTATTTGATGTAGCTAGGCTCATAGGTACACCGAGGAAGGTTTTTATGTAAAAAATCCCATAAATTGCATCTTTATTCACCTGGATGAAGGATCTATTGATACAATTGGACTTCCTGATAAGAAGCATGTGTGCCTGTATACATACCACAATGCAATTAATATCTGTCAAGTTAGATTTCATCTTCAATGAAGTACAATGGCTTTGCTAGATTCTTCTGTAAATAAAACAACAAAACTTCATGTCATTGTTTTATAAAGCAGCTGGGATTCCAGGAAACATTCACAGCCTTTGTCACTTGAAGAAGAACTTAACAAAAAGGATGACCCTGTTTCCTTAGCCTGTGTCTTACTTTCACCCTCTTCCAGGGATGCATTTTCCTGAAATTCCACATCATGGTGACATCATGTTGAGTCCTGTGCTCCAGATACCTCAAATGCACTGGTCTCCTATTGTGAGGCATTGTCTTCCTTCAAGGCACAGCCTTCTGGGTATCTGGAGCAGAGTTTAAGACATTAGCAATAGCACTAAGACTTATATACTGCTTCATAGTGCTTTACAGTCCTCTCTAGGCAGTTTACAGAGTCAACATATTGCCCCCAACAATCTGGGTCCTCATTTTACCCACTTCTGAAGGATGGAAGGCTGAGTCAACCTTGAACTCCAGGAATGAGCAGTGAGTTAGCTTGCAGTGCTGCATTCTAACCATTGCACCATGGCCCACTCGCCACAGCCAGGTCAAGTCACTGTGGGACAAGAGTTGCGACTAATATCAAAGATATTATCTTCTGGGTGAATTATATGTTCATATAAGAAGGCACAAAACCATGAATGACTTCGATGAGTAACTCTTAGAATTCTAGAAGTTTTACTGCTACTTGTTTCTTTTCTTTTTTTCCCCTTGGCATTTCCTTAATAAAAGCCTTGGATGATGACAGGCAGGGATATCCAAATTGGCATACATCATTTTCTGACATCTGCTCACCCAGAAATGAAGAAAGAAGAAGAATTGGGTTGTATTAAAGGAGCAAGAGAGATGTATTTTCAAGGAATTGTTTTATGTAGCATTTTATTACTGCTTCCAAAATATGTCATTTTAGCTAGTCTTGGCAAATGTTGACCTGAAGACATATTGACGGGATGAAATGTTGCAAATGTTGTCTACAGTTTATTATTGGCTCATAAAATTCAGCATAAGCTGAATGCACACAAACACAGATGGAGTGAAAGAGAGAAATACCACTGTGCTTCATATAGCCAAACTGGAAAAGAGGCCAGTGCCGAGAAGGGGCTTATCTTGTATTGGCAGCAATCCTCTGGACAATGCTCTACATCAGTGATGAAATTCAAAATTGTTTACTACCAGTTCTGTGGGTGTGGCTTGGTGGGCATGGCAGGGGAAGAATATTGCAAAATCTTCATTCCCACCCTACTCTGGGGCCAGCCAGAGGTGGTATTTGCCGGTTCTCCGAACTACTCAAAACTGCCCCAGAACCTGTCAGAACCTGCTGGATTTCACCCCTGCTCTACATGGCTTGGCCATCTCATCCTATCTTCATGTTCTTACCTCATCTTTTCAGCCATACAAGAGGAGCAAGGCATTATGGCCATTGCAGCATCCTCAAAGTCACCTGATCAAAATTTGGATGCTTGGCAACTGGTATGTATTTATGATGGGTCCAGTGTCCTGGATGTGATCATGTGATCCCCTTTTGCAAACTTCTGACAAGCAAAGTCAATGGGGAAGCCAGGTTCACTTAACAATTGTGTTACTAACTTAACAACTGCAGTGATTGACTTAACATATAAGTCCAGTAAACCTAAACCTAAACAACTGTGGCAAGAAAACCTGTAAAGTGGGGCAAAATTCACTTAATCAATGTTTCACTTAGCAACAGACATTTTGGACTCAATTGTGGTTGTAAGTCGAGGACTACGTATATAAAGCAAAGGGTCTGGATTTGTGTTACAGGTAGTCTTCAATTTACAACCAAAATTTCCATAGCTAAGCAAGGCAGCTGTTAAGTGAGTTTGGCCCCATTTTACAACCTTTCCTGCCACAGTGGTTAAGTGAATCATTGCTGTTGTTAAGTTAATAACATGGTCGTTAAGTGAATCTGGCTTCCCCATTAACTTTGCTTGTCAGGAGGTCACAAAAGGGGATCACATGATCACATCCAGGACACTGGACCCATCATAAATACATACCAGTTGCCAAGCATCCAAATTTTGATCAGGTGACTTTGAGGATGCTGCAATGGCCATAATGCCTTGCTCCTCTTGTATGGCTGAAAAGATGAGGTAAGAACATGAAGATAGGATGAGATGGCCAAGCCATGTAGAGCAGGG